ATGTAAATATATATTAGAACAAGTCTTAACACAATAAAAAAATTTTTTTTTAATTACAACTGTAATTCCTCAAAAATACTTCCAAGAATATTTCCCTCAAACTTTAATCAGTTTTTTTAAGGATTATGTTTGTTTTCCTAAAGTTTATCACCAACTTTTCATTGATCTCCCATGACTACTTGCCTTGGACTGTCCCTTGTATATCAGATAAAAAAGAGATAAATTCAAGCATAAAACTCCCTTCCTTGTTCTAATATATATTTACATTATTGGACATGAATTTTGCTGTGCACTGAACTCGGATATGTATATTGTGACCCACGGGCTGTAACATCCCTTTGTCTTGCACCATCAGCTAAGTAAAGGATGCCCATTGTCCTATGTGATCTTTGATAAATCAGTTGTTCTAAGCATTTCTCATGTAGGACAAATGAGCTGATTCTTCAGATTGTACCAACCGTTGAGTTGACCCTCTCACTAGGCAATTCTTATAATGAACTTTGAAGTCAAGAACACAAGACATTTGCACAGAATGATCTATGAGTTCCATAAATCAATAAAATAATGAAGCTCTTTGTTATCTGTATTTACATGTTGATGGGCCAACCAAGCAAAAATGAGATTCCTTGGTTTGGGTATAGAAGAAAAACTTGGGAGATATGAATGTGGCATTACTATCTTATTTTTCCCAATTTCCTTTCTAAGTCTTCTTAGAAAGTCCGCTTGTCTTTTCTCAAAGCACGATGTCCGTATCAATGTTTCTGTAAATACATGATTAAATCTTAAAAAGACCTGAATTAACAGAAGTATTGATTGAAGAAGGCACTGTGCTGGTAAACGGCATATATATTTAATTGGAAGACCTCTGGTGGTAAAGGAAGAATTTAACATAGAATTGGTGTCATTTGATATAAAGAAGTCAACCATTATCGTGGCTCTGAATCCTGTGAAATGTTTGCCTCATTTGGCAGCAGTTCTGACCTTGCCTGTGGCTGAAATGCGGACAGGTTTATAGATGGTGAAGCCACATAGCCCTCAGTGATCTGTACTGTAAGGACTGAGACAGGGCAGCATCAAAACACATTGGTTCCTTACATTCCATGACGTGGCTTTCCTGGTTTGTAATATGTGCCATCCTTTTTTCTTAATAAAATGCATTTTTGAAATGAAATGCAGAATATACCATAAGAGATATTGTATAAAGTTTTGAATTTGGGAATTATATTGAATTTCATTTTCTTAAGATAGTAGAAAGGTGTAGGTACATGCCTTCTTTATTGGTGCATGCTGTATGTGTGAGGTATGTATGCTGTGAGTTTGTGTGTGTATCTGTATGTATATGTGTGTGCATGTGTGTATATTTGATGGTGACTAGTTAAGATCCTGAGTAATTCCAATTTCCCAAAGAATGTGCAATGTTTTCCATTAAACTTGTCACAAAATCAAGTCTTAACACAGTAAAAAAA